TCATCAGCAGCAGCAGCAGCAGCAGCAGCAGTATCATAATCATCCTCATGTGTCGTCATCAACAACAACATCAACATCATCGTCACCATCATAAGCATGAGCACTAGTATCATCATCATCATCATCATCATCATCATCATCATCATCATCATCATCATCATCATCATCATCATCATCATCATCATCATCATCATCATCATCATCATCATCATCATCATCATCATCATCATCATCATCATCATCATCATCATCATCATCATCATCATCATCATCATCATCATCATCATCATCATCATCATCATCATCATCATCATCATCATCCTGCTCCTCCTCCACCCCCTCCTCCTCCTCCTCCTCCTCTCCTCTTTTGCCCTTACATAGAACTCCTCCCTGCAGCACTCCCAGCGTAAGGGCAGGGCGGGCCGGGCGCCTCGCCCGAGACCTCTGCAGCAGCTCATCTGCCCTGAGGCCCGAAACTCACCACAGTCACTGGGATGGACACGCGCGGTTTTCAAACACGGGGCTCCCGTCCCAGCGCCACGCACCGACGGCGCGACGCCCACGCAAGTAAACGCGCTTGCGCCCCCTTCGCAAACCGACTCGCTCGAACGGGGGGGCGAGGTCACCTCTGGCGCGCCCTGCGAGGAGAAGCACGCTCGCGGTGCCCCCCGCCGAGCCGTCAGCCCCCAATGCCTTCGCCCGACCCAGCCCAAAGCCAAGGCAGAGGAGACCATTCGACCGAAGCGTAGAGCAAGGGATACGAGGATGGATCATACGCCAGTCTCCAAACGGGACTCTCGCCTTCGCGCTGGGCACACTTGCTGGGCTTGTTTTCCACCACCACCACCATTAAGTTGCAGGGGGAGGGGGTCCTACTCCTCCCCCTCCTCCTCCACCTCCTCCTCCTCCTCTTCCTCCTCCTCCTCCTCTTCTTCCGATTCCCCCCTCCAACTTATGGTGGTGGTGGTGGTGGTGGAAAACAGGCCAATCAACACTCGTTTCACAAGCCTTCAACAGGTACACGCCTTAGCGCCGCGCAAGTTCGCAATGAAAACGTTCGCAGCAGCTACAACACACGGAGCGCCAGCCGTTTTCGAAACAGGGCTCTCGCCTGGGCGCCGAGCGCATTCGTCTTGAAAGCTTGCAGCAACTACAAGGATGGAGGGCGATTATTGTGCAAGGAGGGGGTCCTGCCTCAGCGCCGCACAGATTCGTCTCAAAAGTTTGCAGCAGGTGCACTGGTGGGCGACAAGTTCCTTTCTGAGCATGGGGTGTACGCTTGAAGCCTCCTGGAATGCCGAGACCAGGAACCTGAACATGTGTGGCAGCTGCACGGAAAGGGGGTGACTCTTTTCCAAGCACGGGGCGGTCGCTGCAGATCTCGTCTGTCATAAGGGGGGGGGCACCCCCGTGTCAAGACGAGGACCCGCACGACCATACCTTGTGGTTCACAGCCCTGGCGATGCGCCAGAAAGACGCGAGGCCGCTCCCCCGTGCCTCAAGGGGGCCCAGGGACACACAAAGAAGTACACACACACACACACACACACACGTCCCAGGATTCCACAGATTTCCCTCTACTCTCTGGGTTTCTGCATTCCCCGCCACGTCCCATAGTTTCTTCCCATCTGTTCCTGGGAATCGACGAGGGGGCCCAGGGACACACAAAGAAGTACACACACACATACACACACACACACACACACACACGTCCCAGGATTCCACAGATGTCCCTCTACTCTCTGGGTTTCTGCACTCCCCGCCACATCCCATAGTTTCCCATATTTTCCTGGGAATCGAGGATTCGTTGCGTCTGTGTTTCTTGTTCCCCCTCCCGGATGTTACATTTCGAGGCGGGCTTCTGTTCGCCCGAAGGGCGTCGGGTCCACGAGGCGCGGGTCCTCCAGGGGGGTAGGCTCTTGCAGCAAGGCAGGAGGCCTGCGGGGACCTGCGAAGGAGGTTTCTGCTGTGTCGCAGGGGGAGAAAAGGCTCCTCCTCCTCCTCCTCCTCCTCCTCCTCCCTTCCTCCTCCTCCTCCTCCTCCTCATCCTCCTCCTCCTCCTCCTCCCTTCCTCCTCCCTTCCTCCTCCTCCTCCTCCTCCTCCTCCTCCTCCTCCTCCCTCCCTCCCTCCTCTCCCTCCCCCCTCCCACCTCCCATCCCGTCCTCCCCCTCCTCCCTCCCTCCCCCTCCTCCTCCCCTCCTCCCTCCTCCCTCCTCCCTCCCCTCCTCCTCCACCTCCCCCTCCCTCCCTCCCTCACCTCCCTCCTCCCTCCTCCTCCTCCCACCTCCCCTCCTCCCCTCCTCCTCCTCCTCCTCCTCCTCCTCCTCTCCCTCCCTCCTCCTCCTCCCTCCTCCTCTCCTCCTCTCCTCTCCTCCTCCCCTCCTCCCTCCTCCCGCCTCCCTCAGCCCCTCCCGCCTCCCTCCTCCCTCCTCCTCCCTCCTCCCTCCTCCCTCTCTCCTCCGAGGGCGGAACGGCTACCGGAACTCCCGGGGGCTTCCCGACGGCGCCAAGACGGCCGAATGCCACAGGTCGGCGGCGAGCGACGGGGGGGGAGCTTGGGGCTCGAGCCTCGAGGCTCGAGGTTTTCGGGCGCTTTCGCCGGTTCTCGGCGGTCTTCCAGGCTCGGGATGCTTGCCAGCAGCTGCGCCTCGCCGCAGGTCCGCCTCTTCTCACTTCCCCCCTCGCTCGCCCTGATCATGTGTGTGTGGGGTAGGGGCACTGGTGGGGTGGGAGGAAAATCGCTCCAGACGGCCCCTGGGAGAAAAATGTGAGCAACCAGCTGGGTTCGCCCCCCAGCCCCGCCTTGGGATAAACCCCCCTCTACGAACCCTTAATTTGGTTCAACATCCAAAACGATTTCACCGGCGAAACCACCCAGGTGCGCGTTTCTGTATTTTCGGCAATAATGGGCATTCTGTGGGGGGGTGGGGGAGAGTGGAAAAGGGGGGGGGGGTATAATGCACGCCTCCCTCCCGCCGTGCGCAGGCGGCAGTGCCCGGAGCGCACTGAGGGGGGGGGGGGGAGAAGCGTTACGTTATAGAGGGTGGGGGGAGGGAGGGGGGGCCGGGGGCTATAATGCCCATTACAGTCAACCCGCATAGTAAGGATGGGCAACCTTCTCAAGGGTAACCTTGCATCCTCGCCTCCTCGGTCCATCCTTTGCCGCTTTCGCTGGCCGCGCCCCGCTCGAGAAGCTTCGAAAGGGGCGTCCAAGACCCTTGCATCTCTATCGCGCATCCTTGCTACACTGATCGACTGGATGCCCCAAGCAACAGAGAAGCACGCGCCCGTATCCTGGGGGGCCCTGGCAGGGGGCTCCAGAGTGCTGCGCGTGCCGGCCGAGCAAGGAGTGCGCGGGCCAGGCGCGCAGGGGGGGAGGGGGAGGAGGGGGGTGGGAGGGAAGCAAGGGAGGAGGAGAGGGAGGCAGAGGGGGAGGAAAAGGAGGAGGAGAGGAGAGGAAGAGGGAAACAAGGGAGAAGGAGAAGGAGGAGGAAAAGGAGAAGGAAAGGGAGGAGGAGACCAGCGGAGGAGGACGAGGAAACAAGAGGAGGAAGAGGAAAACGAGGGAGAAGGAGAGGGAGGAAAAGGAGGGGGAAAGCCGCAGAGCCAGGGCATAGGCCAAGCCGGGTGGGCAAAAAAACGCACCGAAAAAAGGGCACAGTTTTATTAAACTGTGCTAAGCTATTTCCCATGAGGGACTTGGGACGGGAGGGTGGGTTGCAGCATCGCTGATGCATCTTGGGTGTACTCTGATTATCCTCCCCTCATTTCTCCTCCTTCTCCTCCTCCTCCTCGCCCTCATCTGTGTTTCCTCCCTCCGTCCCCTCCTCCACCTCCTGCTAAAACACATGCAACAGGAAAATCGAGCTGTAGATGTACACTTCCACTGCGGTGCCACGGCCGCTGCTCTTGTTCCTGCTCCTCCTGCGCATGACCATCCTGCTCTTTCTCCTCTTCCTCCTCCCCCCCTTCCCTTCATCATTTCCTCCGCAACCATCATCTTGCTCCTGTTTCTCCCCCTCCTCTCTTCAAGCTGCGGAACGTTCGACCCCACACGAAACACACCGCGCAGGAATCACAACTAACGAGGTACGCGGTTGGGTTGGGAGGCGGAAGCTTCTGCCTAACACTCGGATGGTGGACGGATCCTTGCCTCCCTGCGCAGTCTCAGGTTCGACTCGCCATCCCTGTTTCATGAGACCACAGCGTAGAGTCCCCCAAGCAAGCCAAGCCGCCATGATCCCGTTCCACCTCCTCACCCTCCTTCTCCTCCAAGTCCTCTTCCTACTCCTCCTCTTCCTCCACCTCCTGATCCCCACCATCATCATCATTATCATCATCATCATCATCATCATCATCATCATCATCATCATCAGCATCATCGTTGTCAGCATCATCAGCATCAGCATCAGAGTCAGCGTCAACTTCATCATCATCAGCATCATCATCATCATCATCATCATCAGCATCATCATCATCATCATCATCATCATCATCATCATCATCATCCTTATCAATAGCATCATCATCAGCATCATCATCATCATCATCATCATCATCACTATCGTCATCATCACCAGCAACGGCAAAATCATCATCACCAACACCAACATCATCACCATCACCATCACCATCAACGCCATCACCACTACCGTCACCATCACCAGCACCATCCTCGCTCCTCCTCCCTCTCCTCCTCCTTGGCGCCCTCCCCCCTTCCCTTCATCTTCAAAAAAAAACGCATTTGCGATAGGTTGCAGAACACCGCCGGAAACCTCCTCCACATCCTCCTCCTCCTCCTCCTCCTCCTCCTCCTCCTCGTCCTCCTCCTCCTCCTCCTCCTCCACACCTTCAACCAATTCCTCCCCATCCTCCTGTTCATCCTCCTCCTCCACAAACTCATCCTCTTCCACATTCTCCTCCTCCTCCTTCTCCGCATCCTTCTCCTTCCTCCTCCTCCTCCCTCTCATCCTCTTCATCATCCTGCTAAGCCCCAGGCGGTCAGCGCCCGTTCGCAGATGTCGTCGCGTTCGCTCTCCAGCTTATGCGCCGTCGCCTGGTGCATGGAGAGTTCGCTGACAGTCGCCTGTGGTGTCCGAAACTGGGGCGAAGAAGAATCCTCCCTCCTCGTTGTCATCCTCCTCCATGTCCTCCTCCGTGTCCTCTTCCTCCTTTTCCTCCTCCGCCTCCTCTGTTTTCTCCTTCACATGATCCTCCGTCTCCGTCGCCCTTTTCCCTCCTCTCCCTCCAGAAGGTGGTGGTGTTTGCTCCTGGCGTGTCCGCATAGATTCTTGTTTGCCCCCCAACAAAAAGCCAACGCTTCTGGATTATCTCTGGCGTTTCCGACCGAATGATTCGGGCGTTGCCCGGAGGTTCCTGGCACTGTCGAAAGATCACGGATGGCATTGTGGAGGCTCCGATACGGATTGGAATACTCCTGTGGGCTGGGAAAGGGCGGGGAGAGAGGAGGGCGGAAAAGGAGGAAGGGAGAGAGGAGTGCGAGGATCAGGGGGTGGGAATGGTCGTCCAAGCGGGCGTGGTGCAAAACCGACCAGGTCAACCCTGGTCGGTACCCCGAAAAAAACCAAAGCCCGTGAGACACCGAACGGGTTACCGTTCCGAATATCCACACCCTGGCAGCCGCCACATGTGTGAGAGGGAAAGGAGAAGGCAATAATAAACACATGTGGTCAGAGAAGACGAGCGAGGACTCCGCCTACGACTGCTAATATTACCACGGCTGCTCATACTATTGCGACTGCTACTGCTACTGCTACTGCCACTGCCACTGCTACTTCGACCGACTGCTGCTGCTACTGCTACTGCTACTGCTAGTACGACTACTACCACTTCTACCACAACATCTACTACGAGTAGTACTACTACTACTACTACTACTACTACTACTACTACTACTACTACTACTACTACCGCTACTACTACTACTACTACTACTACTACTACTACTA